ACCTTTTCAATTATTTTACTTCCGGTAGTCTGAAACTGTCACAAACGATAGTTTCATTTTATTACAACCTTAAACTGGTTTCTTGTTAATTAAGGTGAAGTAATTAGTTTATTTCATCACTGGTGCGTAAAGTGACTACTTTCGACGCGAGCAAAATATTGACTGTGTGAATTAGCAAAGGTTAAATAATATATACAGGGCGTCCCTTAATTAAACAGCTAAACTTCAGAAAATGGTTGTATGGGTCAAAATGAAGAGAAAATCAATGATTCAACTCTTTCCATTTGGTATTTATTACTTAAACATAATAGCGTTATATGTTTATCTATGGATTGTTTCGACACATCCTTATGAAACTTGCTATGGCATTTGAAGGTAAAAGAGACCTATGTTATAGCAAATTTGGCAAATCTCAAAATTGTAAAATAGCAGCCATTTTAGTTCTTATAAATTAAATACCAACTAATTGACTGATTTCGTCTAAAACTTGTAAGAGTTCTTTATGTAGCATTTGCGATTTCCTATAAAACAATGCCAAGTTAAACAATATCTAATGAAAAATTGCTGAATTAAAATTGAGCGAAATTTGAATTAAAACGATTATAAATGATAAGCAAATATATATTGACCCAGGGATGAAAAAAAATCATTTTATTATTCCAGTAAATCATTTTTGATTACCGATTTCGTTGCAGTAATATATTTTTAGAAATTATTGTAATATTTTTCGTTCTCACCATATTTACATAGTTAAGACCCTTGTAAAGTAACTTTCAAGTTGGTATCTAATGTTACGAGTTCGTTACAAGAAAAAAAAAAAAAACGGGAAAAATTGTATGTTTTACTTTGAAAAAAAAACTACAGGTAACAACAAAGAACAGCAACAGCACAATTCATATCAAAGGATGTGGTTTTGTTTGGATTCAGTTGTTTTATAACATGGCAAAACAAGTTTTCCTGTGTACTCTTTAACTCTCTTAGTCCAACGTAGTTTGCTTAGTTGTTTTGCTATTTATAAGTAATGTTGTACTGTAAATAGTGAAAATAATTGTTTGACCTACAATCTAGCTTCAGAATGTTACTTAAAAATAATTTTTCGATTGAAAATGAATGCTCTCATCATATCTTCGTAATATGTAGATACTATTATGTTACTCCAAAAATAGCATAAAGATAAATATAAAACTGTTGGCTGAAGTATTGGACTAATGAAAACAGGATAAATTAATTTGATGGTAATTTATTACGATGGTGAAACACAATCATTGTTACTAGATTTAAAAATACAGTTGGAGTTTTTAGCTATTTAGCCTATATTGTTCTATGGTTATAATGAGTAAATATTTTGTTAATCCAGAATTAATTACTTTTACTTTACACACGACGACGATTTATTTTCAACAGGTAAAAAAAGATTTGTAATTTTATACCCAACGGAAAATTCCAAAAAGAAAAAAAACACTGTTTGAAAATAAATTGTACTTCCTACGACTTTAATTAGTTTCTAACAGACGACAACCGGATACATTGAGTCAATTCAATTAATTATCTACACAGAGTTTAACTACTTATCAGGACGCTAGTAATGTATGTGGAGTGCCTACTACTCAGTACTAATTACTTCTTGTGTACTGGTATTAAAATAATTACTTTAACTAGAATTGAAATGATAAACGTTCCATAAAATTCACCAATAATAAATGTTTACACATTTGAGCAATATGTAACATCATAATTTTTTTTAAGCAAAATTATTAAAATTAAAATTTGAAAAATTTATTTTTAGGTTTATAATTACTAATATACATTCACTCTAATTGAGATCTCTGCTGATTGTCTTTGGCCAAACAAGAATTCTGTTTGAAAAATATCCCTGGTTTATATCAAAGAGTATCGTAATTGAATTGACCTTCGATTTAGGTCTAAAGTAAATTTGCTATATATTATTGAATCCAATACTATAGTGCATTTCGTCGCCATTAAGGCAGTAAATAATAACCGACAAAATAGTAATGTACAATAGCTATTTGTGCAACTAGTGAGCAAAGGGAGCAATTGCCTCACTCGATAGAAGAGAAATCCTTACGCACGAGCTGTAGGCGAGTGAGGCAATTGCACTTTGCACTCGAGTTGCACATTATATTTTTCCTACAGTTACCATAAAACAAATAAATTATTACCCAACACAAATTAGATGTATTGCTTATTTCGGAAACTCATTTTACGGATAGAACCTATTTCAAAATTCCATATTACAAATTGTACTACACTAATCATCCTGACAACACTGCACATGGAGGAACTGCAATCCTAGTTCGGGACACGATTAAACACTATGAAATACCATGTTTTAAGGAAGATTATCTTCAAGCTTCCACCATTGTTTTAGAAGATTGGCTTGGTCCTATTACAATTTCAGCTGTGTACTGCCCTCCAAGGCATGTTATAACTTACAATCAATTTGAACAGTATTTCAACACTCTTGGTAATAGATTTATTGCAGGGGGTGATTTTAATGCAAAGCACCAAGAATGGGGGTCACGTTTGGCTACACCCAGAGGCAGACAGCTTTTAAGATTAATGAATGACAATCAGTTCACCCATTTTTCAACTGGTGAACCTACCTACTGGCCCACTGATATGCGAAAAATCCCTGATCTGTTAGACTTTTTTATTTCAAAAGGTATTAACCAAAATTACACTGAAGTAAAATCTTGTCTTGACCTATCTTCTGACCATTCACCAGTTATGTTAAATTTAAGTACCGAAATATTTCACAAAGAACCAGGGGACGTATTTTTCAATAAATACACGGACTGGAATCAATTTCGAAATTTTATAAATCAAAACTTAAATTTACACATACAGCTACGTAGTCCTGAAAATGTAGAAGCTGCTGTTGATCACTTTGTTGACTGTATTCAAAATTCTGCCAAAGAATCCACACCTCTACCTAATCATGAACAATCAGAGAAAATAGGCCTAGGCTACCCAATTCATATCAAGAAAAAGATAGCAGAAAAGAGACGACTCAGAAGAATTTGGCAAAACTCAAGAAACCCAAATGATAAGGCCAACTTTAACCGAGCAGCACGGAATTTGAAAAGATTATTGTACGACACAAAAAACCGATGGTTTGAAGAATATACTCAATCTTTGTCGGCTACGGAAGCTACGGATTACTCGTTATGGAAAGTAACAAAAAGGCTGAAGCAACCCCAAATTTCAATCCCGCCAATTCGTAAACCGGATGGAAGCTGGGCTAAGAGTGACATAGAAAAATCTGAAGCTTTCGGGGATTACTTTTCCAATGTATTCAAGCCAAATGTAGGTGTGGTCAATAATGAAGAAGAAATAATAGAATTCTTGGACTCTCCACTTCAACTTGACTTTCCTCTGGAAAAATTCAGACCTACAGAAATTAAGGCAACCATTGACAAATCGCTAAATCCGAAAAAATCTCCTGGTTACGATTCTATCACTGGGAAAATGTTAAAAGAACTGCCAAGGAAAGGAATGATTTTTATTGCATTTCTCTTTAATTCTATATTGAGACTAGACCACATACCAACTCAATTTAAGAAAGCCCAATTAATTGTTATACCAAAACCAGGAAAACCTCCTCATGAAATCACTTCCTACAGACCTATAAGTCTCTTGCCTATAGTGTCCAAGTTGTTTGAGAAAATGTTCCTCAAAAGACTACAAGCTCTTTTTGAAGAAGACGACGTCATTCCAGGACACCAATTCGGGTTTAGACGGAGACATGGCACCGTGGAGCAGGTCCATAGGGTTGTTCATACAATTCGAAACTGTTTGGAAAACAAACAATTTTGTTCTGCTGCTTTCCTTGATGTCAGTCAGGCATTTGACAAAGTATGGCACTCTGGCTTACTATTCAAAATTAAGAAGTTACTACCCCATTCAGTTTTTCCTATTTTAAAATCATATCTTACCAACAGAACTTTCCAAATTAAACATCAAAATTACTTAACTGACCTTTACCCTATAGAATCAGGAATCCCCCAAGGAAGCGTGCTTGGACCATACTTGTATATTCTCTATACATCGGACCTACCAGAAAGTGTAAACACTATGGTTGCTACATTTGCGGATGACACGGCGATTTTATCTGTCCACGACAATCCAGCTCAAGCTACAGCAAATTTACAGCTAAACTTGGATGAAATTTCTCATTGGTTTAAAACATGGAGGTTCAAAATTAATGAAAATAAATCAGCACACATTACTTTTACCTTAAATCAGGCTACATGTCCTCCAGTATCCATGAACAATATTCACCTCCCTCAAGTAACGGAAATAAAATACTTGGGCATGCACTTATATGCAAAGCTTAATTGGAAGGCACATGTCTGGACTAAAAGGCAACAACTCAATTTAAAAACAACTAAACTTAATTGGCTTCTTGGATCTAAATCAAAACTCAGTACACAAAATAAATTGTTACTGTACAAAACAGTTTTAAAACCAATTTGGACTTATGGTATTCAGCTTTGGGGATCAGCAAGTACCTCAAACATTGAAATTATTCAACGTTACCAATCAAAATTATTACGTAAAATTGTCAACGCTCCTTGGTTTGTTACCAACAGAACACTTCACAATGATCTTCAAATTCGAACAGTAAAAGAAGAAATTACAAAATATAGTGAAAAATACATTATAAAATTGGAAAATCATTCAAATCATCTTGCACTTAATTTATTGGACAATCACAACACCATTTACAGACTGAAGCGACATACAATATTGGACCTCCCATTCAGATTCGGCTAAGTGTTATCAAAATTCTCTTTGTTAGCTAGTGTTGACAGTTGTCAATCACTAGCTCATGTTCTTCAAGTTATTGTTGTTGTATTACTATTTATATCATTTGCTTATTGTTCAACTTGAACAGATTGTAAATTAAATAAAGTTAAAAAAAAAAAAATTAAGTTTTCGTCTTGAATGAAAAGTCTAAAAATATGTTTTGTTTTCAGTACGGGTTTGTCAATTACGCCTTGGAACTTCTGGTGCTGAAAACGTTTGGCGAAGAAACATGGGAGCAAATCAAGTGAGTCACAACACATTATTTTCAATCTTTGGTTGCAATCTTTTAATGATTTTTACTAAAGCTAAAGGACCCATGCTGCTCCGCAGCGGTAAAATAAATATAATATCCAAGAAATAATAAAATTTATGATTTTTTATTGAGTGATACAATATCTTGAGCTTAACTGATTCAAACGATCAACAACTCAAATTAAAGCATATAATTTACTGATTATTTTGGGTCTAAAACACATAAAAAACATAAACAATACTGGAGCTATCAATTTCATAGAAAACCCTTATGAAATAGTATATTTCGTACCTAGGTTTTGCCAGCTCGAGATAGTTTTTAAGTTCAAGACGAAGTCGAGAACTTAAAACGATCGAGAGCTGCAAAACCATTTCGGTCCGTGGTACGAACGCTATTTTTCACCACACTATACCCTATTACCACTATTCACCACAATAATAATGTACACTGATAGTCAACACATCTACAACTTTAAGGTTACCTATGTGAAGAAATAATTTGAGGAATCAACAAAAATAATAATAAATATAGTTGCTAGGCAGCGGTGACAATAAAACTATTCTACTGCAATGTGATGGTATTTAATATGCATTCATGTTAAAGTTAGCGGGCAGCTGATTTTGCGGCCCTAGGGATGTAAAAACCTGCTCGGTCCCCAAATGACGATGACAGCTGTCATGGCCATTAAAACGTAACTTTCAGCCACCAATTAACGTATATAAAACAGCTAAAACATTATAGTGTAGGAAAAATTATTTTTAGTTGGTTGTTCACATTCCGTTTGCTTGAAACTCGTCCGATTTGAATAACTAATAGCTTAAATAAAAGCCGGCATTTCACTGAAGGTTCTTAGACCAAAATATATAGGATTATATTATAATCAAGCCACTGTTTAAGACCTCAATCATGAAAATCGGTCGGGTAGAAGAGCCAAACGAACTTGGAAAGTAACCAAATTTAACTCCCAGAAGAAACACATGGAGAGCAAACTTAGTTTGCGTATAAACCGAGTGAGAATATAGATAATTATATGTCGATGCTTGATGGAAAATCTGTGCGTGCATACCTTCAATTTGAGACCTCAATCATGAAAATCGGTCGGGTAGAAGAGCCAAACGAACTCGGATAAGAAAACCCTATAAGATGTTTCTATGGTATGTTTTATACTTTTAACAACTTATTTCTATTATAATTGACAAGCAAAGTGGTGATACCTGTTGGTTATTTAGTCGTTTAGTTAGAAAACAATTTGCATAATGCATGTAAAATGAGGTATAGGTCATAAACCTGTTAAGGGGTTATTTTCTACGCATTTACTTATTGTAACATAAACATTGAAGAAGTAGGAACCAACCACTAAAGTTAACATTTCTCATGAGAATGTATTCAACACTGTTCTAAAGCACTTCAATTGTAAAATTGTATTGCAGTTATATACCAATTTGTATATTAGTATTGTTATTTTTTTATATGTTGTTAACCTTAAAAAGAATAGTAGATCAAAGAGAGAAAAGTGCCTAAAAATAGCAGTAATTCCTATGAAACAATTTATAATTTAAGTGTCATCTATAGCTTATTATTTGATGGCTTATCATTTATGAATATAATAATAATACATCAAAATGTCAAATTATCAATACTAACACGCATAATACACCATCATAATTAACTTTGACAACCTTTTTGGTCAACGTTTTTAGCAACTATTTTGGTTACGTAAGAATACCAAAATATTTAATATTGTATTTCAGCACTGTATGTAGTCCCGCTTCTCTGAACCGTGGCACCGTCTCGTACCTTGCTCGCGTCGCAGCACCCCATTTTCCTTAAATGGCTTTATCAAAATCCATGTAACAAACGTAACATTAGATAACCCTCAACACCTAAAAAGCTTTTAGCTAATAATTGTGGATTAGTGGTATACAAGTAGGTACGTGTAAGTGTTAACCGCATCTTAATTAATTGGTTCTCGCTCTTACTTTTGCATCTAGATTTGACTATACCTATCAAGCCTATCAAGTACTCTCTGCCAGTTTTTTTCTTTTAATCAACGATTTATTTCTATACATCTGGTCCATTTCACATACAAGTCACCAAACGAATTTGAAGTAAATGAAGTAATTCACCAAGATTGTTGATACTTATTTCAAAACGTATTTTACTTAAACACATTCTTAAACGGTTTCTATAGAAATTTGCATTTATAGAATCTGACTTTAATTTAGATCAATTTTCAAAATTACAAAATGTTAAGACGAAACTTTGTTAGAACTACCAAATGAAATAATTGTCAAAATCATAAACGTCCCAAGGTAGTTCACCTTGGGACGATATCGATCGACATGTTATTTAACATATGAACATTACCAACATCTTCCTTTTTCAAAAATGTTTTTAAGTTCTTAAAAATTGTCTATTTCGAATGTAGTCTTTTCGCTGAACTTGTTCAGCGTTTAATGAAGCAGGGATGTACGTGTGAAATCCATTGCTTTACACAGAATGTGCAGTAGAGCCAACTCCGTAGTGAAGAAAAAATTACATCAGAAACTTTTAAATATCCACGAGGATCGCGCATTCAGAGCTTTGAGGTTTGGAAGCCTCTGTGAAGTTTATTTTTGGGAATCGTTAGAGTTTTAGACGCAGCCACTTTACCCCTGATACTAGACAACACTTTGCCTCCCATATCATATTCATGGATAGCAGAACTCGACAACACTTTGAGGTTAGCTCTCAAATATTGTTTTCTAGGAAGAGATCGACTTAAAAGCACTTTCACCAAGCTTTATAAAATATCTTACCTCGCCGCTGGGAGGTATCAACTCGACCAATGAATGTAGACTCTTATGAGTCTTATGTTTCGCTGCGTCTCTCAATTGTTGAGGACTTTACCACACGTGTTGTGCTCCATGGTTCCTACAAGCTACGGTGTCCTTTGTGTGGTAGACTTTGACCATCTCACTGATACTGACGGTATGTTTCATAATAGTGGTTTCCCTAAGGGCCCTTTACAGAGTAGACTGAGAGAGTATATCAGTAAAGACAGTATGTTTACCGTTAGAGAGGATAGATGGATTTTGAAAATTATTTCATATATTTGAGTCAAGAAACTCCGAATTTATGCTCTTGCTCACATTCACCAGAGCTTCCATCGCAGCTGCTGATAACAGAAAAGTAGCTACAAAATCTCCATGTGCATTCTTGAAATCTTTGGCACAATCTTATATATCTTATTATATTGTAGACATCTTCTTTTTTGTTAGTCCCTCCCAAAGCTGCTGTAAAATAGAAGAGGAAATTTTAGGTTTTAATATTAAGAGTAAAAAAGTAAAAGTAAAATGAAAAAACAAAGATTAGAAGTACTTTAAATGTGTAATGAAAACAAGATCTCTTTTCAAACTGTGCTGAGCACATATCTAAATACAGAATTATTGAACTCAAAACAAAACTTTAAAAATCTCCAATGCGAATGGATGGAAGTCAAGCAAACAAGAAACAAGGATTACTAATATTCAAACTCCAGCTTCTTTCTTTTTTTGGTGCCGTCAATGAGTGTTACGTCGGGTGTTAACTAATGTAGGTTGAAAGTGGTCTGCACGAATTTTGAAAAGTTTGGTTCCAATCTTGAAGGTTAAAATGTGTTACAATAAAATTGTAGGAAATATCTATTTTCATCGGTGTAAGTTATAAATGCTGTACTTTTGTGGAAATTAGTTCCACCCTAAACTCTATATCTCCACTACTAACATTGATATGATTATATTATCAACACTTTCCAAATATATTACTAAGTGACTTAGATGAGGTGCTGCCTGATGCTGTCGGCAACACCGGGACTGGTTCTGTCGGCTGTTTGGCTACAACAGAGTTTCTCTCTTCTCCCTTCTTTCCCTAATCACCCTGTGTAGCAGCCCCCGAACTGTTGGGCCATCTCTGTATGTCCTCTTTCTTCTGTCGCTGTAACATTCACTGTTCTGGGATTAGACAGGTTAATTTTAGTCAGTCATTATAAGTTACCTTGGGTCTTGTGTTTTGTTGTTTCAACCGGCTTCGACCTTGTAAAGCAAGAGACTATGATATAAATCTCGGAAATATTTTGGAAGAGGTTCAAAAAGGGAACTATCTATCATATAGCAGCCATCTACTCATCGAATATGCAATCCGGGGTCCGGGGTCTGATACTTACGAACTTGTTCTTTTCAGTATGTTGTCGAGTTCCCTTTGCTCTCCCTCTGTCCACTCACTACCGTTTACTAATAGTCCGGTAATTAAGGAGAAATATATAGCGGAGGTTCAACAAAATTGATTCAAAAGGTTTTTCTACGGATTTCATTAGTTTTATACCTCCACACAACACAAAAAAAAGTCTACCAAAATCTGACTTGGGGAAGTACCTGAATTATGGTATTTAAATTAAAATAATAATTGCTCCGTGAGAAAAAAAAACAGATAAAAATATAATTGCTATATACAGGGTGAGTTTTAATTGCCCCCCCCCCAACTTTTTTCTACATTTTTTCAAATATCAATCCCAGACCACTTTTAAACATTGTTGGGTAGGAAGTACTTCATTTTGACAAGGTGTTCATTTCCGGCCGCCATCTTGGATCCGCCATATTGGATGCAAAATATTTTTTCAAATGTAAAGGTGGGGTTGTGACCCATCATTTCGAACTAGATTTTTACCCTGATTACAATGCCGCAAACCGTTTTTAAAAATCTTGATTCATTCTAAAGTTATGAGGCCTTTTAAAACTTTATTTGTAGCCCATTTTAACATTGTGCTTGTACAAACTAAGACCATAATCTCAAAATAGTGCTAGATAAAGATAAGTATACACTACCAGTCATTGCCAACCTATTTCCACTTGGTTATGACAGATGTATTTTTTTCGGTCGCCATCTTGGATCCGCCATTTTGAAATGTGATAAATTATTTTAAATATAAAAGGGGTGTTGTGACCCATCATTTCGGATTACTTTTTTAAGCTGAA